TATTATTGGCCGCCATTTGTCTCATAAGAAATGAAGTCAAATGAAGATTTGAAACAATTAGACAACAAATCAGTGGCCGAAACAATGGTATTGTCATCACTTCCAACACATCCAACGATCCATTTGTTGAATGAAAAGCTAATGATTGTTGTGTTTAGATTCAGATCGTAGAGGGATGTCGAGTGCCCACCAAAATGAGATACTCCGATGACTGGCGTATGTCTTCCACTCATTTATGTCTTGTGTTTGTCTTAACCACTCATCTGTTCCATAGCTTTGGCCGAAATTCTCAGCATTAGAGAGACTTCGAGCGGAGACACACTTTATTACATCCATTATATTGATTACAACAAACGTCTGGACGAATGGGTGTCCAAAGAGAGACTCGATTTACAGAAATTACAATTACCGGAGAGGAAGGACATTAAGAACTCGCTGAAGAACGGCTCCAGACCTTCGTCTCCAGAACGAGAGATTGTAATGAATATGATTTGATTGATAGCCATAAGCGCTAATCATTGTCACTGTTTTCAGACCATCGACAGAGACATCGATGTCTCTCAAGAGAGTTATTCCATTCAAAACCAGAGCCAAAGTGAGACAAACTGTCAGAATGTGGTGAAAGACGTGACGCTAGAGAACGGGAATTCAGAGGCGAGCACTGCGTTGACAGCTGCGCCTCATTTGCCCAAAAAGACATTACAGCCTTCCGGACGGAAACGCAAGTTTGGTGTCATTTCCACTCCGACGACGCCTGTCGTTGAAGATCAGGACTCGCAGGACACAGATCCTTGTGTTCCGCCATTGGCTGCCGGCGCGAGCGGTGCAGTGATAGCCCCGCGAACGAGCGGTAGTCTGACTGTCCATCACAGCGACGATATCATAACCCGTATTAAGAACATAGAGATGTTAGAGTTGGGTCGGCATCGGATCAAACCGTGGTATTTCTCGCCCTATCCCTCAGAACTGGCGTCTCTTCCGTGCATTTATTTGTGTGAGTTTTGTCTGAAATACCTGAAGTCGCGGAAGTGTTTGCATCGACACAGTGTCAAGTGTGCGCTCAGACACCCGCCCGGCAATGAGATCTACCGAAAGGCCACCGTTTCCTTCTTCGAGATCGACGGACGAAAGAACAAGTTTTACGCACAAAATCTGTGTCTTTTAGCCAAATGTTTTCTGGACCACAAGACCCTCTACTACGACACGGATCCCTTCCTCTTCTACGTGATGACCGAAATAGACAACAGAGGCTTTCATATCGTCGGCTACTTTTCCANCACAAAATCTGTGTCTTTTAGCCAAATGTTTTCTGGACCACAAGACCCTCTACTACGACACGGATCCCTTCCTCTTCTACGTGATGACCGAAATAGACAACAGAGGCTTTCATATCGTCGGCTACTTTTCCAAAGAGAAGGAGTCCTCCGAGGACTACAACGTGGCCTGTATTCTCACACTTCCTCCCTATCAACGCAAGGGTTACGGAAAGCTATTAATTGAATTCAGTTACGAATTGTCCAAATTTGAGGGCAAGACTGGAAGTCCTGAGAAGCCATTGAGTGATTTGGGACTCCTATCGTATCGGAGCTATTGGTCGGAAACGATTCTCGATATATTAGTCAACTTGAAAACAGTGGAACCCAATGAGAAGCCATTGATGACAATCAACGAGTTGTCTGAAGTGACTTCCATCAAGAAAGAGGATGTGATCTCAACCCTACAATACCTCAATCTAATCAACTATTATAAGGGACAGTACATCATAACCATCACCAAAGAGGTGCTCACGTATTACGACAGGGCTTTCCAGAAGCGCAAAGTTCGCATCGATTCCAAATGTCTTCACTGGACGCCCAAGGATTGGTCCAAACGCGGCAAATGGTGACCACTTTTTGTTATTATTTATATTTATTTATTTGTTATTTATATTGATTGCCATT